TTTTAAGCCACCGGGTCCGGGACATGAACCGCGGTCGACTACGTGGGAGTCCAGCGACATAGCCATTACACTAACTGCTGGTTCCCAGATGTAGACGCTTTTTACAAAACTTCCCATTGCAATCTATTTTAACAGTTTTAAGTTTTAGTGCTTAAGGTGATAAGCATAGCTATCTGAAAAATTCTCTCATGTACAGTAATTTATTTGCCAGAAATTTCTGATAAAACATGATTATGCCTATTATAATGTATTTGTTTTTTAGATATTTTAATAGACTTTGTTTTAAGGTTAGAAGAAAAATTATACAAAAAACAGAATTCCCATACGCTCCCTTCCTCACCCTCACTGTTTCCTCTATTACTAAATCTTGCATTACCGTGGCACTTTTTGTACATTTGATGAACCAGTACTGATGTGTAATTTAAGGTCCACAGTTTACATTAGGATTCAATCTGTCCGTTCAGGTCCATGGGTCTTGACAAATGTATTATGACATATAGCCACCATTACAAGATCGTATGGAATAGTTTCACTGCACTAAAAATGCCTTGTGTTCCACATATTCATCCCTCCTCACTTCTTCCCCTGAGTCCCTGGCAACCACTGATCATTTCATTGTCTCTATAGTTTTATTATCATTGGAACCATATAACATTTAACTTTTTAACTGGCTTCTTTTACTTAGTATGTTATTTAAAATTGCTTCATGCTTTTTCCTGATTAAATTCTTAGCTTATTTCTTTTTATTCCTGAACACCATTTCATTGTACACATCACAACTTATCTCTTCACATATTAAAGAATATCTTAGTTATTTCCAGTTTGGGACAATTATGAATTGAGCTGTTATGAATGCTATATGCAAGTTTTTGAGTGAATATAAGTAACTAGATTTCTACCTGTTGCTATTTCAGAGATCAGTGTAGATCTTGGATACCAGTCCTTTATCAAATATGTCTTATGCAAGTATTTTCTTCTACTCTGTAGCTTCTCTTTTTCTACAGAGTAGAAACTTTATAGAAGTCCAACTAATTATTTTTTTTCTTTCATGGATAGTAATTTTGGTGTTGTATCTAAAAAGTCAATAACAAACCTAAGCCACCTGGATTTTCTCATATGCAATCTTTTAGAAGTCTTACAGTTTTGTACTTTATGTTTAGGCCTTTAATTCATTTTGAGTTCATTTTTACGAGAGGTGTATCTAAACAGAAAGAGTCAATATCTAGATTACGTTTTTTAAAAATGTATATGTCAGGTTGTTCCAGCATCATTTGTTGAAAGGACTATCTATTCTACATTGGCTTGTAGGTTAGTTGTTTTATTAGGAGAATTTTATTCTTAATTCTTGGTGCTACAATGAAATCTTTAACTTTTATTGAACTCTGTCCAGGACCTGCAGATGGACTGTACTAGTAAATGGGGCACATGTTTTGTTTTGTTTAAGGTTTTTGCCACAGGGCATGTGCACCTGCCAGAGAAAAACAGACAGTAAGAAGGAAAGTAAGAAATCACCCATCACCAGAGTGATGGCTACGCTGCAATCCCTTCTCCTCTTGAGATTTTGGACATGCATGCATATGCTCCCCACGTGATTTTCTTTTTAATTTTTAATTTTTTTAGTATTATTTAATTTTATTTGATAATTATTTATTTTTCAATTTGACCAGAGAGAGAGAGAGGAAAAGTGAGAAAGCAAGCTGCGGGATCCGGGACCTGAACTGTGGTTAGCCATGTGGGAGTTCAGTAACTACTATGCCACCTGCTGGCCTCTTCTCAGTGTGATTTTCAAGCCTCCAGGTACAGGACTTGAACCACAGTTGGCTATTTGGGAGTCCAGCTCCTTAAACACTACATCATCTATTGGCCTCCTCAATGGGGTATTTTAAGGATCTATGGGCCAGGAAGGATGTATTCGTGTGCTGGGCTGCCATAACAAAGTCCCACAGACTGAATGATTTCAACAAAAATGTATTTTTCACTGTTTCGGAGACTAGACATTCAAGATAAAGGAGTCAAAAGGTTTGATTTCTCCTGAGGTCTCTCTCCTTGGCTTGCAGATATCTGCCTTCCAACTGTGTCTTCACATGATTTTTTCTCTGATTGCCTGCATTCTTGGTGTTTCTGTTTACCCAGATTTCTTTTTCTTATAAGGATACCAGTCAGATTGGATTAGAGTCTACCTTAATGGTCTCATTTTAAGTTTATCACCTCTTTTTTAAAAATAATTATTTTATTTAACTTTATTTATTTGCTTACTTTTTAACTTGACAGAAGGGAGTAGAGTGAGAGACAGAGAGAGAAAGAGGGAAAGTGAGAAAGCAAGCCACCAGGTCCAGGACTCGAACTATGGTTGACCATGTGGAAGTCCAGCGTCCTTAACCACCATGCTACCTTCCGGCTCCAAGTTTATCACCTCTTTAAAGACCTTTTCTACAAAAACAGTCACTTCATGAGGTAGTGGAGGCTTGAACGCTAACATAAGAATTTGGGAGGATACAAGTCAGCCCATAACAGTTGGCTATATGCAGACAGAATAAATGTATACTCCTAAAGGGAAAAAAAAAAAAAGAAATAGATAAATAAATAAATAAATAATCAGGATCCAATTAATATTATAGTAACTGATTACCCTTCATAATGCTTTGGAAATTAATATCTCAGTAGTATTACTGTCAAATAAAGATTCTCTTTAGAAAAAAACTTTTATACATATTAGGTATATCTTACATACAAAGGGAAATGCTTCTTTTTAAAAGTTATCATTGTTGGGAACCAGCAGTTAGCGTAATGGCTATGTCGCTGGACTCCCACGTAGTCGACCGAAAAAAAAAAAAAAAAAAAACCTCTCAAAAAAAAAAAAAAAAGTTATCATTGTTGTTCTTTGTTTTTTTGATCATAGCCATTTGGTGGGAGAAGCTTGGGAAAAAAGCATTTAACAGACACAGGAGTACATGTTGATGTGGAATGGCATACCACAACAGGGTGGAAAAAAAAGGGATGTTCCAATTTATTTATTTATTTACAGAAACACACACACATAGAGTAGAGCAATTATGGAAGGTACATATCATAATGTATTCTTTGTTAAAAATTATGACCATGGTAATATCCTTGATTTGATTATCATACACTGTATGCATGCTTTGAAAATCCATGTTGTACTGCACAAAGATATGCAACAATTAAATCTAAAGAAGAAATTATTAAAATATGCATAGAAAGTTGCTATTATTATAAAAGGTATTCAAGCTATGTCATGGAAATGATAAAAACAGAATTCAAGAGTGAAATATTTAATTCTAAATGATTAGATTGAACCACATTTGATAGCGATGCAACTAAATACAAATGAGATGATTTCAGAGGTACTTTGCAACTTTCAAAGAAGAAATTATTTCTTGACTAAATTATACTCTATAATTTTATCCAAAACTTACAAACGTACACTAATCTACTTTATATGATAAAGTAATTATAGTGTGAAACTAGAGCCTTAAAAAATATAACCAAAAATGAAAACTATTGCTCATTCTTACATAAGATTGTAATATTTAGCTTACCATTGAGTGAGTAAAGAATTTCTAAACTGGAAAAGAAGGAACAAAATTATAAAAAGCTTAATATGTTTAGGGGCTGGCAGGTGGCGTGGTGGTTAAGGGTGCTAGACTCCCACATTGCTGACCACAGTTCGAGTCCTGGACGTGGTGGCTTGCTTTCTCACTTTCCATCTCTCTCTCTGTGTCTCTCCTTCTCTGGTCAAATTAAAATAATAAGTAAAATAAATAAAGTTAAGTAAAATAATTCTTAAAAAAAAATGCTCAATAGGTTTGACCACTTAAGAATTTAAAACTCCAGGCCTGGCAGGTGGCATGGCGGTTAAGGGTGAGTCCCAGACTTCGTTGTTTACTTTCTCACTTACCCTCTCTCTCTCTTGCTCTATCTCCCTCCCTGGCCAAATTCAAATAAATAAAGTTAAATAATTAAAAAATAAATATTTTTTAAAAATTAAAACTTCAGGGATCAGCAGATGGCATAATGGTTATGTCACTGGACTCCCACATAGTGGATCACGGTTTGAGTCCCAGACCCAATGGCTTAAAACTCATGCTGGGCGCATGTGCATATATGTCCAAGATCCCAAGAGGAGAATGGAGGAGAGGGGATTGCAGCATGGTCATCCCACATGGGGGGTGATTTCTCACTTTCTGTCACTCTCTTACTCTATCTCTCCAGCAAGCACATGCACCTTATAGTAAAAACCTCTCTCTCTAAAAACAAAACAAAACAAAAATTTAAAACTTCAGGCCAGCAGATGATGTACCAGTTATGTTGCTGGACTCCTACATGACTGACTGAGGTTTGAGTCCCAGATCCAGTGGCTTGAAAATCATGCCAAGTATGTATGTGTGTGCTTGTGTGACCAAAATTCTGCAAGGAGAATGGAAGAAATTGGATTGTAGTATGGCCATCCTGCTGGAGGGTGATTTCTTACTTTCCCTCTCACCTCATCTGTCTGTCTCCCTCCAGTGAGTACATGCACCTTAAGGCAAAAACCTCTTTTAAAAAATTTAAAATTTTACACGTAAAAAGTAAAACTAGGGAACCAGCAGTTAGTGTAATGGCTATGTCGCTGGGCTCCCACGTAGTCGACCGCGGTTCGTGTCCCGGACCCGGTGGCTTAAAACTCACGCCGGGCGCATGTGCGTGCATGCCCAAGATCCCGAGAGGAGAATGGAGGAGAAGGGATTGCAGCGTGACCATCCCCCCTGGGGGGTGATTTCCGCTTTCTGTCTCTATGTCTCTCTCTGTCTGTCTGGCGAGCGCACGCGCCCTACAGTGAAAATCTCTCCAAAAAAAAAAGTAAAACTAATAAAACATTACAACAAAACTAGACAGAGAGTCAATAATTTTCCTTTTCTGTATTTTTAAAATTTTCTCTTTTCTAAGAGAGATTTTGCTATAAGGTGCGTGTACTTGCCAGAAAGACAGAGAGACAGAAAGGGAGAAATCTGCCCCCCCCCCCCGCGGGGAGGGGGCCACACTGCAGTCCCTTCACTTCCATTCTTCTCTCTGGATTTTGGGCACCTTCGTTTCCCCAGAGTGAGTTTTAAGTCACCAGGTCCAGGACTCAAACTGTGGTTGACTATGTGCAAGTCTAGCGATGTAACCATTATGCCATCTGCTGGTCCCAATTTTCTCTTTTAAAGGATATAAAGCTGACTAAAACGCCCACCAAAAAAACAGTGGGCCAAAGATAAGTACTGACAATTACATCAATAAATAATATAAAGAGCTAATAAACATGTTAGAAGATGTTTAATTTCATAGTTACCAAAGAAATGCAAAAATACTGAGGAGTTTTTCATTTATTATATCGTAATAAATTTAAGTAATTACTTAAACTGATGAGATTTATTCAGATAGTACGAATTAGATGGTAATATTGGAAGGAATGTTACAAATGTATTAAAAGTATGAAAAATATTTATACCTTTAACCTACTGATTATTCTTGTAGGACTCTATCCCAAGGAAATAACGAAAAGTGTAACAAAAGATTTACTCACAGGCCTTTTCTCACCAGACAGAGAGACAGAAAGCGAGAAATCCCCCCCAGGGGGGATGTTCACGCCGCAATCCCTTCTCCTCCATTCTCTTCTCAGGATCTTGGGCACGCACGCACATGCGCCCGGCATGAGTTCTAAGCCACCGGGTCCGGGACGCGAACCAAGGTTGACTACATGGGAGTTCAGCGACATAGCCATTACGCTAACTGCTGGTCCCCACAGGCCTTTTCAACAAAACAGAATTTAGAATAGCAAATATTTGGGAAAACTCACATGTCCAATATTAGGGATATAATTAAGAAAATCATAGAGGGACCAGCATATGGTGTAATGGCTATGTTGCTGGACTCCCATGTAACTGACCGTGGTTCATGTCCCAGACCCAGTGGCTTAAACTCATGCCAGGTGTATGTGCCTGCGTCCCCAAGATCTCCGAGGAGAATGGAAAAGAGATTGTGGCATGGCCATCCCCCCCGGGGGGGATTTCTTGCTTTCTGTCTCTCGTTCTCTCTGACGAGCGCATGCATCCTATAGCAAAAACCTCTCCCAAAAAAGAGAAAATCATAGAACATTTCCAAAATGAGCTATCTTTTAACAATTTTGTCCCAACACATATTTTTTTTACCCCTTTCAACTTTTAAAAAAACTTTTTAAAATTTGTAATGTGTATAAGAAATATAAACTATATATATGCAATTTAGAGATGGTTATAAAGTGTAATCTTATGTCACCTGCATTGGGACTCAAAAATAGAATTTATTATTTTTTTTTCTTTTTTTGGAGAGGTTTTTGCTATAGGGCGCGTGCACTCGCCAGAAAGACAGAGAGAGACAGAGAGATAGAAAGTGAGAAATCACCCCGCAGGGGGGATGGCCACACTGCAATCCCTTCTCCATTCTCCTCTTGGGATCTTGGGCACACACGCACATGTGCCCGGCATGAGTTTAAGCCACCAGGTCCAGGACTTGAACCACACGGTCAACTACACGGGAGTCCAGCGACATAGTCATTACACTAACTGCTGGTCCCCAAAAATAGAATTTCTTTGAGTTTAACTTCATTAAAAGAAATACCATTCTCTGCAATTTTCATTTAAGTTGAAAAAGGTCTTTATTTCATAGTAAAAGATACTCTTAACCTTCTTTATATCGTTATCTGATTCCTTTTATAGTCATTTACTGACAGAAATAAGGTCAGTGTATCTCTGAAATAGGAAAAATCCAAAGTGTGTTTGCCTGCTCTCACATACCACTTAACACTTCTGATACCAGATGTGTGGGGATTTCTCCCCCCGAAAAACAAGCAGTTCTCTTCTCTAGTGAGCATAAGCTGGGTGTCTTTTTATTCAATTAAAATTCAATTCAATTCTGATATTATCTACCTAGAGATAATGGCAGATCCCACAAGCCTTTCCACACTGATCTCCCTACTTCTGATGCCAACTGCAAGCATCAAATTGTGACCTGTGCTTTGGACCTACCAGTTGTAAATCTAGGTTTCTCACGTGTGTGTGTGTGTGTGTGTGTGTATGTGTGTGTGTATCTTTTATATGTACTATGATACTCTTATATACTATATATATATATATATATATGCACACACACATATATGTAACATGTATAACAATTATTATAAACTACAAACTAACAGTATAAACAAAATGTATGTTATAATACAATATCATGTATCATGGTATCACAGTATCCAAATTCTTGAGCGTTAGTTCATCTGCTACTTAACAGTTACTTTATTATTTGTTTAGATCTTTAAGTTCTAAAATAGAATTGAAACAGCTATCAAAGCTATGTATATAATACTACAGGATTAAAAGTACATAGATGATGAAATCAAATATGGGAGATAAGAGTTGAAAAATAAAATACAGAAAATATACACTAGGGTATGATACTAGTGTTTTTCAAACTTTTTTTGTTAATTTTATCAGAGGGTACAAGTGCTCACTGGAGAAAGAGAAAATGAGAAAGCACACACCCCACTGGGAATGATCATACCACAATCTCTTCTCCATTTCTCCCTCTCTTCCAGAACTTTTTTAAGGTTCTTGCCATAGGGCATATGCGCTTGCCACAGAGACAGAAAGAGTCAGTGAGAGGGAAAGTCCCTCTCACTGCAATCCCTTCTTTTTTACTCTCCTTTTGGGATTTTGGGCATGCATGCATGTACCCAAAATGAGTTTCAACCTACCAGATCTGGGATTCGAACTGTTGTCAGCCATATGGAAGTCCAGTGCCTTAACCACTATGCTACCTGCTGGTCCCTCCCTTCTAGATTTTGGGCATGCACACAAGTGACATTTTTCTCAAGCTACCGGGTCTGGTACTTGAACCATGCAGTTGGCCATGTGAATCCAGCCACCTTAACAACCATGTCATCAACTGGCTCTCAAACTTTTTTTTTTAAGAGGTATTTGCTATAGGTCACTTGTACTTGCCAGAAAGACAGAGACAGAGAGAGAGAAAGTGAGAAATCATCTCCCAGGGGGGATGGCCATGCCACAATCCCTTCTCCATTCTCCTCTTGAGATCTTGGGCACACACGCACACACGCCTGGTGTGAGTTTAAGCCACCGGGTCTGGGACTTGAACCATGGTCGACTATGTGGGAGTTCAGCAACATAACCATTACGCTAACTGCTGGTCCCTCAAACTTTTTTTTAAACAATAATCCACCATAAGACATATATTTTGCACTGTAACACCATACTCACATATCTACACACAAATGTTTGACAAAGCAAAGAAATGCTGCTTGGTACTATCTCTGCATTCTGATCTCTATTATGTTCTGCTCTTTTTTTCTCCCCTTTTTCTTTTTTGAAAGATTTTTGCCATAGAGTGTGCTCACTGAAGAGAGACAGAGAGACAGAAAGCAAGAAATCACCCCCCAGGATGATGGGCACACTACAGTCCCTTCTCCATTCTCCTTTTGGGATTTTGGGCATGCTCGCACATTCACACATCATGAGTTTTAAGCCACTGGATCCAGGACTCAAACCACAGTCGACTGTGGGAGTTTAACAACATAACCTTTATGCCATCTGCTGGTCCCATTTCTCCCCTTTATAAAGTACTGCTTGCATCTTACTAATACGTCTTGATCCTCAATTTGGAATACATACCTAAATAATAGGAAGATAAGGGCAACAAACTTGATTCTACATTTTTTAGCAAGTTACCTCTTGGAGAGAAACAAAGTCATGGTTCTGAGTAGTCGTGCATCAAGGATGTTTGGAGGTAAGATGGCATGACTGATAAACTTTTTGTGATAACTTAGATCTTTGTTAAGCTGGGATGACATTTAGCTATTCTTGCCTAACTGCAATACTGTTCTGTAGCTAAGGAGACAACTGGCTCAGGAGAAGCACCTCAGGGAATCTCTTGAGAAATCCGGATCAGCCATGCTATTCAAAATACAAGAAATGGGATCGACAGTGGAGGTGGAGCGGAAACAGGTAGAAAGATTTCCTCCTTGTCAGGGAAGTGAAACAAAAAAAAAACCTGGTATATTACGTATAAACTTGTAATTTTACTAATTTTCTCTAAATTTATTATTGCATTTCTTTAGTCATTTGTTAACATTTTTACTACATTTTTTTAAATGGTGCAAAATAAGAAATAACACTGTTGTCATTTAATCCAACACTTTTAATTTACGAAGGAGGGAACTTTATAAAGACCAGAAGAGGGACCATCAGTAAGCATAATGGCTATGTCGCTGGACTCCCATGTAGTCGACCTCGGTTCGCATCCTGGAACCGGTGGCTTAAAACTCACGCCGGGCGCATGTGCGTGCGTGCCCAAGATCCCGAGAGGAGAATGGAGGAGAAGGGATTGCGGCGTGGCCATCCCCCCTGGGGGTTGATTTCTCACTTTCTGTCTCTATGTCTCTCTCTGTCTGTCTGGTGAGCGCATGTGCCCTATGGCAAAAACCTCTCCAAAAAAAATAAATAATAAAGACCAGAAGAGGGTCCAGCAGAATAATGCATACTGGATTTGCTGTTGGGAGGCCCAGGTGCCAAACCTCGCTGGTTGGGGGGTTGAAGCAGAAGGATCACGAAACAGGAAGACCTTGTCTAAAACATCACACACACACACACACACACACACACACACACACACATGGACCAGAGAAGTTAACTTGCCTCAGGCTTTATGGAGGTTAACTCTTAGCTGATACAGTGTCCTTCCCCTGTACCATACAATTTCTGTTGTAGACATAGATTTTGGAAGGTACTGCCCTCATCTCATGCTATATGTATGTGACATGGATACAAAGTATAGACTAACCTGTGCTGGAGCTGGCAGGTGGCATGGTGGTTAAAGATGCTGGACTCCCACGTGGCTTACGGCAGTTTGAGTCTTAGACCTGGCAGCTCAGCTTGTTTTCTCTCTCTCTCTTTCTCTGGTCAAATTAAATAATAGTAATAAAATAAAGTTAATAAAAAAAAAGACTAACCTGTTCTAATACTCAAAGAATTTACACTACTGTTTTAAATTATGATTATTTTAGCACAGTATTTTTGCCTTTATTACAGTTTTTATTTGAAGTACCTACATGTAAGTTAGAATACTTTAAATTCTAATTATCTCAGGGATTATTCTTTTCATATTTTAATACTTATAATTGCATTACATAATCTTTATTATTTTAACCAATGGCTATCCTTTACAATTGCTTAAGGAATTTGCAGTCTTTTATTGCTGTAACTTGCACTGCCAATATGCTAGTCATTAGCCATATTTGACTATTCAAATTTAAATTAATTAAAATTAAATAAGATTAAAGATTCAGTTTCTCACTGTGCTTACATTTCAGTGCTCAGTAACCACTTGTATCAAGTGATTGTTGTGTTAGTGCACAGAAAGTTCTATTGGACAGCACTGCTATGGCACTGCATTCTGTTGACATTTTTCATTCTTATCATAGACATACTCCTCTTCTCTCCTCAGTAACATCAAGATTGGAAATTCTGTCTTACACATGTGTTATCAGGTACTATATTAGAAATCTTTACCTTACAGAAAAAGAGTGTTTCTTATACAATTTCAGGTGCACATTTTGCAACAAAACTGCATTGCCCTACGCAAGTCTATACAGTCCACCCAGGAACTACTGGCACAGGAGCAACACAAAAAAGGAGAGTTGGAGACTGCTACCTCACAGCTCAAGTCTGATCTAGGTATGAAAGTAGATGCTAGAAATCACACTTTTCTGCTTTTTTTTAAATGTCTTGCAAAAATTCATAAGATCCCAAATTTGTATACTATCCAGCATTATTGATATTTCCCACGGTAAAAAATGGCTGATTTCCTTTCTGCCTGTAGCACAGAGACAAAAAAGAGCATTGATGAGGAGATAAAAGTTGGGGACCAGCAGATGGCATAATGGTTATATCACTGAATTCTCATATGACTGTGGTTCCAGTCCCAGACCTGGTGGCTTGAAACTCACACCAACACATATGCGTGCATGCCCAAAATCCTGAGAGGAGAATGGAGGAGAAGGAACTGTGGCATGGCCATCTCCCCTGGGGGTGATTTCTTGCTTTCTGTCTCTTCGGCGAGCACATGTGCACTATAGCAAAAATCTCTCTTTAAAAAAAAATACTTGAATTATTCTTTATTTTGTTTCTAAACTTATTTAAGCATTTGTGGACTTGGGAATAGTTGGTTTTCTGGGCATCTGGATTGAACATTGTATAATACAATATTAATAAGAAAAAGGCTATTAATTTTCATAAGCTTATTGATTCTGTGATTCATAATGTTCTTTATGTTCTCAATCTATTTTGGTTAATGTATATTTGTAGAGATGGATGGTTGTTAGTTACCTTGAAGAGAGCTTAATCTCTGCATTTTACAAATGAGTCCATAGAGGTGATAGAGCTAAAAAATAGAAGAGCCTATACTTGACCCTCAGTTACTCAGATCATGCTTTTTCTAATCTATCAGCCTTTTTTTCAGACCACAGTTAGTAATATGTCATAATAGAGCAGTTTTTAGATAGTCTCAACTACAGAGATCACATAGAATTACAGTGCAGTGCCTCACACAATGAACATTTCATGGTTTACACAGAGCTTTCACATAAATTATCTCATGTAATACTCAAGGCTAGTCATACTTCCTGAAGTTACAAAAGGGAAAAAATGGCAAAGTGAGGCCTAAACCTTCTAACTTCAAGTCCTATATTCTTTCCACTATACTTTCTTTGTTCTGTGTTTGGAATACGGTCAGGTAATATACCAAAAGGGAAATGAATAACACACACACACACACACACACACACACACAAAACAACAAGTAACTCATCCAATAATTTGAATTACTGCTTTTAGAAGAAAATACTCCTTTTCCTTATAGTTGTTGAGTAATAAATTAGTATGAGAAGATCACACTGACAATGCCCCAAGATAATTTTCTATCTTCCTATGATTATATAGCTACAGAATACATGTTACATTTTATGGTGCATTATCTCATTTGAGCCTTGCAACAACCTTGTCAGAAAGATAAAAATATTCCCTGTCTAAAGAAGTGTGAAAAGGTCCAGAGAAATTCTACTCAAGGATCCATTGCAAGTGGAATAGCCGGGACTAAAAACAGTTCTTTTATATCAGTTGGCCCTCTTATAGAGTTACTTGTTACTTTTTTATTGCATTAATACGTTAGTTTTGAATTTTGTAAAGACTATGTGGAATACCACTTTAAAAATGAAGATTAAAACAACAGTAATTCAAACTTACATGAAAAAAAGGAAGCCTGCCTGAATGCCAATTATGTGCTTAGTATTAGTTATAGACTTTATATGCATATAATTTTATTATTTTAGGGTACAAATAGTTATTCTAACTAGATTAATAAAAGAAATGCCCTTAAATATTTTCTCTGATGAACTTAAAAATACGATGTTTTATCAAGTTTACTAACAATAAACATTTACATACATTTATATTACTTAAAAGGAATTAATTATTCCCCCAAGTAAATTAAATACTCTCCTTTCATTCTTTCTTTGATTAGAATTTTCAAGAATAGGGACCAGCAGTTAGTGTAATGACTATGTCACTGGACTACCACGTAGTCAAATGCAGTTCGAGTCCCGGATCCGGTGGCTTAAACTCACACTGGGCGCGTGTGCGTGCGTGCCCCAGATCCCGAGAGGAGAATGGAGGAGAAGGGATTGAGGTGTGGCCATCCCCCCTGGGGGGTGATTTCTCGCTTTCTATCTCTCTGTCTCTGTCTGGCGAGCGCACGCGCCCTATAGCAAAAAAACCTCTCCAAAAAAAAGAAAAAAAAGAATTTTCAAGAATAGGTCATATAAAAGATCATCATAAAGTTTGTGAGCAATGGGTATTATGAAGAAAACCATGCATGATTTTTTGCACCAGAGTAAACTCATACTTTAATTCTATTTGAATTCTCCTTGTATAGTTTATCTTTTTGATCCTTCATGTATTTTAAAATAGCGTTTACTCTAATGAATCATAGATTTATATATTTATAATTTTTTTTTCAGGTATTTGCCATAGGGCACATGCACTTGCCAGGTAGAGACAAACAAGACAGTGAGAGGGAAAGTGGGGTGGGGGAGGTGTCATGCTACAGTCCTTTCTCCATTCTTCTCCTGGGATCTTAGGCATCCAGGCATGCACGCATGTAAACACACACACAAACACACACACACACGAGCCTGGCATGAGTTCAACCCACCAGGTCCTGGTCTGGGACCAAACCACTTGCGGCCATGTGTGAGTTCAGTGCCTCAACCACTACACCTGCTGACTCCTGGATTTATATATTTAGAAAGTAGTTTTTTAAAAGGTATATCCTATAGAAAATCTAAGTTTTTATGAGTTTTATAATTTTACAGCTTTAGGTTATTTAAGCGAAACAAAACTAATAGATCTCTATTAAATTTTCTGTGGAGTCAAAACATTACTCTCAGAAAAGTTTACATCTTGGTGCTACTAGGATACCATACCAAACTGTCCCCAATTTGTCTCTTTGGTTTTCTTTCACTGTCTATATTTTCTGAGTGATTTTAAATCTTTTTTTTTTTCTATCTGTATGAAATCATTCCTCCTGAGTTCTAGATCAGTATCTTACTGCCAACTAAATAACTTTATCTGGTTGCCTTGCAGAAACATCAAAACTCATGGAAAACTTTATTTCATTCATTCTATGCCCCCAATCTGCTCCTTGCTCTGCATTCCTTTTAAGTTGAAGAGTCCACTATCCATTCTGCTGCTGAATTATGAACACTAGATGTTCTCCTTGACTCATCCATTACTTTTACCCTTCCAATAAGCCAAAACCTAAAAGTCATCTCTGCCTACTTTTTGTTGTTGTTGTAGTTGTTGGTGGTGGTGTGTGTGTGTGTATGTGTTTTAAACTGTAGAGTACATGTGCTCTCCAGAGAGAGACAGAAATGAAGACAGGGAAAGTGAAAAATCACCCCTGAGGGGGGATGACCATGTTACAATCCCTTCTCCATTCTTCTCTAAGGATTTGGGGCATGCATGCACATACACCCAGCATGATTTTCAAGCTATTGGGTCTGGGACTCGAACCTCAATCAGCCATATGGAAGTCCAGTGCCTTAACCACCTTGTCACGTGCTAGCCCCTTTGCCTACTATTTTGCAAATCTCTTTTTCCTCTCCATCACCATTGTCATTAGCAGTGAGAACCAGCTTATTTTTTTACACTTTATGAAAAATACACTAGGGACCAAAAGGTTGTGTGGTGGTTAAGATGCTAGACACTCCCACATGGCCAGCCACGGTTTATATCCTGGACCTGGTGGCTTGCTATCTCACTTTCTATGTCTCTCTCCCTTCCTCCCTCCCTCCCTCCTTCTCCTTCCCCCTGTCTCTCTTTCTGGTCAAATTAAATGAATGAATAAATAAAATTTAATATTTATTTTTAAAAAAGAAAAATATACTTTATATTTATACTTAATTACTATTTAGTAATAGCTGCTAAATTGGTCTCCATATCTTTATTGAACTTTTGTTAGTAATCATTCTATCTGCTCTAACAAAAAACTTTGTGGCAGTCCAGCACCTCTAACCGCCATGCCACCTGCCAGCCCTGTCCCTTACCATCTTAAAGTCCCTCCAAGACTCATCATCTGAGCATCAAGTAAAATGTGACTTTGTTGGGACCAGCAGTTAGCGTAATGGCTATGTCGCTGGACTCCCATGTAGTCAACCGCGGTTCAAGTCCCGGACCCAGTGGCTTAAACTCACGCCAGGCACATGTGCGTGCGTGCCCAAGATCCTGAGAGGAGAATGGAGGAGAAGGGATTGTGGCATGGCCATCCCCCCTGGGG